TTGCATTCCCACCAGCAATGAATGAGAGATCTTGTTGCTTCTCACCCTCACCAGCACTTGGTACTCTCAGTGTTCCAGATTTGGGCCATTCTACTAGGTATAAAGTGGTATCTCATTGTTTCACTTATTTATTTATTTTTAAAGATTTTATTTATGTATTTGAGAGAGAGACACAGAGATAGCAACAGGGATAGCGAGAGAGAGCACAAGCAGGGAGGGGGGCAGTGGGAGAGGGAGAAGGTGACTCCCCGCTGAGCAGGGAGCCCGACGTGGGGCTCAGTCCCAGCACCCTGGGATCATGAGCCAAAGGCAGATGCTTAACTGACTGAGCCACCCAGGAGCCCTACATTGTTTTAATTTGCAATTCCCTAATGACATATGGTGTGAAGCATCTTATGCTGATTTGCCATCTATATGTCTTTGGTGAGGTGTCTGTTCAGGCCTTTTGCCCATTTTTATTTTTTTAAGATTTTATTTATTTATTTGAGAGAGAGAGATAGTGAGACAGAGAGCATGAGCAGGAGGGAGAGGGAGAAGCAGAATCCCTGCTGAGCAGGGAGCCCGATGTGGGGCTTGATCTCAGGACCCTGGGATCATGACCTGAGCCGAAGGCAGACGCTTAACCAACTGAGCCACCCAGGCACCCCTTTCGCCCATATTTAAATTAGGTTGTTCATCTTCTTACTGTTAAAAAGAGCTGTTTATTTCTTTTACGGATATGTGTGCTCGGGTGCCTGGGTGGCTCAGTTGGTTAAGCATCTACCTTCGGCATAGGTCATGATCCCAGTGTCCTCGGATTGAGCCCCACATGGGGCTCTCTGCTCATTGGGGAGTCTGCTTCTCCCTTTCCCTCTGTGCTCTCTCTCTGTTGCTCTCCCTCAAGTAAATAAATAAAATCTTTTTTTTAAGATTTTATTTATTTATTTGACAGAGAGCGCGAGAGAGCACAAGCAGGGAAAACAGTAGAGGGAGAGGGAGAAGCAGGCTCCCCGCCAAGCAGGAGCCCGATGCGGGGCTCGATCTTAGGACCCTGAGATCATGACCTAAGCCGAAGGCAGACGCTTAACCATCTGAGCCACCCAGGCGCCCCATAAATAAAATCTTAAAAAAAAAAAAAAAACAGGTATGTATGCTACATTTTCTCCTAGTCTGTGGCTTGTCTTCTCATCTCTTGAGAGTTTGTAGGTTTCTTTTTTTTAAAAAACCAGATGATACAAGATCTTTTTTTTTTAAGATTTCGTTTATTTATTTGACAGAGAGCACAAGCACAAGGACAAGCAGGGGGAATGGGAGAGGGAGAAGCATGCTCCCCACTGAGCCACCCAGGCATCCCGATGAAAGATCTTTTATAGCCAGTGGTTCTTAAACTTTAGTGTGCATGAGAACCACCTGGAGGGCTTGTAAAAACACAGCTGGGTCCCACCTCCAGAGTTTAATTCAGTAGGTATGGGCTGGGATCCATAAATATGCATTTTAAGAAGTTCCCAAGTGTACTTATGCTGTCGGTCTGGGACCCACACTTTGAGAACCACTGTTCCTAGCAATCCCAGGGTCATCTTTTCATAGATACTGAGACCTCTTGGTGACTTCTTGGATGAACTATGAAGCCTTAGGCCAACTCTATATCTACTATAAATGTTACCAACCTTAAGTTTTAATGGTAGTTTTGTTTTAAAAAGTCTTAAATTTAGGACATTGTGAGGTGCCTCGGTGGCTCAATCAGTGAAGCATCCGACTCTTGATTTTGGCTCAGGTCATGATCTGAGGGTTGTGAGATCGAGCCCCATGTCAGGCTCTGTGCTGGGTGTGGAGCCTGCTTGAGACTCTCTCTCTCCCTTGCCTCCTCTTCTCTCTCTCTCTCTTCCCTCTCTAAAGAAGAAGACGGCTTAGTAGCATGATACTATGTCATAGGTTTTCACCATTAGCGATAGGTCTTTATTGTGACCAGACCAATGAGAGATCCAGCTTCAGTTTCCCATAATTATAAGGGTCCAGCTGTCTTTTAGGATTCTTCTGGCATCAGCTTGGTTTCCACCCTTCCTTCTACATGGTGCAGTGTTTCTTCATACTCCCTGCCTAGGAGATAAAAGGAAGTATTTATTCATCTGCTCTCATCCCCAGTTGTTCTCCCCCTCGCCCCTGCTTGTGCTTGTGCTCTTGGCATTAATTTCCCTGCAGTGTGGGTTTGCAAGTGACATGGGTGCTGAGAGGGCTTCTGCAGGGGTGTGGGGCCAAGGGTCAAAGCAGCCCAGGGGTAAGCAAAGAACAGTGCTGAGGAAAGGCGCTGTCAGCATGCACCTGCATGAAGATGAAACTAGCAGGGAAACTGTGTGGCCCTGGTCACCTCAGTAAAGGCTGCAGTAAAGGGGAGCCTGAGAGGCGATAATAGGGTGCAGAAAAAGCATGATATACTGGTCTCCTTTCACTTCCCGAGACACACCAAGCTTATTCCTGTGCTTGGAGGCTTTTATATGACAGCTGTCCTGGAAACTTCACAAAATGCAGGGAGAATGTTCTGGATTAAAAGAGACTCAAGAGACAGAGCAACCCCATGGAATGCAGGGCACTTGATTGGATTCTGGATTTTTAAAACTGCTAAAAGGTGGGGCGCCTGGGTGGCTCAGTGGTTCAGTGGCTGCCTTCGGCTCAGGTCATGATCCCAGGGTCCTGGGATCGAGCCCCACATCGGGCTCCCCGCTCAGTGGGGAGTCTGCTTCTCCCTCTGCTTTGCCGTTCCCCCTGCTTGTGCGCTCTCTCCCTCTCTCAAATAAATAAATAAAATTTTAAAAAACTGCTATAAAGGACATGTTTTTGGACAACTGGGGAGATTTAAATGTGGAGTGTGTACTAGTCACTTATTCTTTAGCAGGACAGAGCAGAACGGCTATGGGTCTTGTGGAAGGTACAAAGATGGGAGCCTAGTGCCTGCCAAGGGGAGGGGATCTGGTTAACACCTCCGACTGAAGTTGGGGCCCCGAGAGGGATGCACCCTAGGGGAAGAAGTGCACCAATCAGCTCTCAAAGCCATCAAGGACTAAATCTGATCAGCTCAGACACTATTTGGATTAAAAGAATGTGTCCCCCACCATTCTCACTGCGTGAGAAGCTAATCCACTCTAGACAAAGATAACACCATTTCAAGCTTTAGATTTGCCTATAGTTCTATGGCAAGAAGTAACATTCATTGGGTATTTACAGTGTTTTAAAGCACGGTGCTAAGGTGCCTTGGTATATTATCTCCTCCAATCTTCACAGAAACCCTGTGATGCAGGACAGACGTTTTGAGTAACCGGTTTCTACCCCTGGGCTAATCAAGTAGCAGAATCAGGATTTGAATCCAGCCAATTCCAGTCTAAAATTTGCCTGTCTTAATCACAACAGTATTGTCATCAGCTTCTCCCCTGAGCTGGAGGCTCGTGTATCTTGACTTCTGATCTCATCTTGACTATCTCAAAGGATCATTGTATCTCCCAAATCAAAATCCTGATGTCTTTTTCCCAAACGAACATCCTCCAGTGTTCCCCATCTTAGTGACTAGCAACATCGCCCGTCCATGGCAAACAAGTCAGAGAACCAATCCCCTTCCGTCCATGCAAGTCAGGTTTTCTTCCTAAATGTCCCTCAGGCATGGCCACTTTCCTATCTCTGTCAAACCCTAGGCCCGCTTATCAACATCTCCCAGTCGCACAGCTGTGGTTGCCAAGACTCAGGGCCCTGCCCCTCACACCCCATTCTCCAAGATGTAGCAAGATGTATCCTTCCAGATGCATATGGAAGCATGTCACACTCCCTTGTCACACATCAGTGGTTTCCCATTGCTCTCAGGTAAAGATCAAACCCTTGACCATAGCATTTAGTTTTGCACGAGTCCCCAGCATACTTGTCCGTCCTCTGTTCCTGGAGGGGAAAATGTCAAAGACTTTGTCTTCATATATGAAAACCACCACAGTAACTAACGAATATGGGAAGATACTTCGAGGTTGTGTGGAGTCCCCTTGGGATTCTCTCTCCCTCTCCCCCTTTCCCTCTCTCTCTAATAAATCTTTTTAAAATTAAAATAAATAAATAAATAAATAAATAAATAAATAAATAAATAAATAAATAAATAAATAAATAAATAAAGGGGCACCTGGGTGGCTCAGTTGGTTAAGCGGCCAACTCTGGATTTGGGCTTAGGTCATGATCTCAGCGTCGTAGGATCGAGCCCCACATCAGGTCCTGTGCACTTAGCAGGGAGTCAGAGCCTGCTTGAGATTCTCTCCCTCTCCTGGCCCCCCCTTCTTGTGTGCTCTCTCTCTAAAATAAATAAATATTTTCCATCTGCTGAGTAACCACAGGCAACAGTTTACCGGTGACTTCAATATATCATAACATGGGTCATCGTTTTTCCTGGTTTGATAACAATGTCTTCACTACTTTTTCCACATAGGTCACTCTTTTGTTACTTGGGACTCCTGGTACCAGTTTCTGGAGCAGTTACATGACAAGCTTCGTCAAACACTGTGGCAGAACACAAGAAACATTTATTTAGCCTTTGAGCCTAAGGGTCGGCTGGGAGGTCCACTGGAGACAGACTGATCTTTTTTTTTTTTTTAAGATTTTATTTATTTATTTGACAGAGAGAGACACATCGAGAGAGGGAACACCAGCAGGGGGTGCGGGAAAGGGAGAAGCCATCTCCCTGCCGAGCAGGGACCCCGATGCGGGGCTTGATCCCAGGACCCCGGGACCATGACCTGAGCCGAAGGCAGACGCTTAACGACTGAGCCACCCAGGCGCCCCGAGACAGACTGATCTTGGGTGCCTTGTCTGAAGCCACTTTCCTCAGCTCCATATTGTCTTCTGCCCTCCAACAAGCTGGTGCAGGGTTGTTCTCCCGGTGCCAACAGGAGTCTGAGAGACAGTAGAAGCATGAAATGCCTCGCGAGTTCCAGTCTCAAAACTGACACACCATCCTTTCTGCCACATCCCATTGGTCAGAGCCAAGTGGTAAGGTCAGCTCAGGTTCAAGGGGTGGAGAAAAAGAACCCTACTTCTTGATGAGAGTGTTACTAGACCCCCAAGACCAGGTTCTTGAGTCTCAGCGTCATGGAAATGAACAGTGAATGCGAGAGAAAGAAAACAGATGATGTTTATTAGAAATCGCTTGTACAGGGGGGCCCCTGGGTGGCGCTCTTGGTTTCGGCTGGGGTCACAATCTCTGGGTCCTTGGATGGAGCCCCATCAGGCTCCGTGCTGAGCATGGAGTCTGCTCCAGGATTCTCTCTCTCCCTCTCCCTCTGCCCCTCCCCCCCCAGCTCACTTGCACTCTCCCTCTCTCTAATAAATCTTAAAAAAAAAAAAAAAAGACACTATTAAGAAAATGAACCATTGGGGTGGCTGGCTGGCTGGGTGGGTGAAGCATGTGACTCTTAATCTCCACGTCCTGAGTTAGAGCCCCACATTGGGCTGAGTTTACTTAAATATTTTTTAAAAAGGGGCGCCTGGGTGACTCGGTCGGTTAAGTGTCTGCCTTTAGCTCAGGTCATGATCCTGGGATCGAGCCCCTAGTCGGGCTCCCTGCTCAGCGGGAAGCCTGCTTCTCCCTCTCCCTCTGCTCCTCCCCACTGCTCCTGCTCTCTCTCTCTCGCTCGCTCTCTCTCTTTCAAATAAATAAAATCTTTAAAAACTTTTTATAAATTTTTTAAGAAAATGAACTATTCATAACCATGAAAAAATGAAAAACGGGTGAATCTCATAAAAATACTGTTGTGTGAAAGACACGTTATATCCAAGAGTATATAAAGTTAAAAAAAATAAGCAAAACTAAAATACAGGAATGCACCCCTAGGTAGTAAAACAAAAAGCAAAGCGGGGAAACAATTACCATAAATACCAGGATAGTAGTTACCTCTGGGTAGGAGGGAAAGGACAGTGAAGCAGGGGGAAGGGTTCAGGAATACTGGAAATTCAATTTCCAGTGGTAGTTACATGGATGTTCGCTTTCTGATAAATCATCCAGCTGTATATTTCATATACTTTTCTGCATATGTTATACTGCACAGGTAAGATTTAGGGGAAAAAAATGCCCAAGAGTGGCCAAAGAAATTTTAAAGATAAGAAGGGGCTGTGATTAGAAAGCTTTAGTAGTTAAGAGGATTGTTGTGAGGAAGACAGACAAATGAATGAATGGAAAATAATAAAGAACACCCTCCCCCTCCCCCAACAAAAGCCCCTGAATCTAGACTATTCTGGTATATAATACAGGCGGCATTTTTTTTCCCCTGCAAAAAGTTTTATTGTTTTCATTTGGTCCACAGCTTGGGCGCGGGCTCCAGGGTGGTTAAAGAGCTGCCTGGCGGCTGCTCGGACAAACCCAGACAGAAGCCCCGGCACTAAGGGGATGCCAGAGGAGCCCCTCAAAGGCCGCTGGGCTCCAGAGGCTGACAGTCACGCTGGAGGGTGAGCCTTTCGAAGAGATACTCGCCCAGCCCGGCCTGGGGGCAGGACAGCCTGCGGAGGTTAGTCAGGTGGTCGCCCATCTTCTTGATGGTTTTCACCTCCTCGCCCAGGAAGTGGCTCTCCAGGAAGTCACAGACATGGGCGTCTGCGTGGGTAGAAGCCAGGTCATGCAGATCCAAAAGGGCCTCGTTCAGGTTCTTCTCGAGGACCACAGCAGTTTCCATGGCGTCCAGGGCTTTGCCCCACTTGTCATGGGACGGCTTCTGCACGTCCTGGAAGAGGGAGCTGCCGCTGCGCTGCTTTTGCAACACCAAGAGCTCCTGGGCACCCTCGAGCTTCTTCTGGGCTAACTCGCGGAAGAAGCGGCCCAAGCCCTCCAGAGCCACATCGCTGCAGTCGAAATAGAAGCCCAGGGAGAGGTAGGTGTTGGAGGCCCGCAGATACATGTTGACCAGGCTGTTGACGGAGGCCTCCACCTCGGCGGAGTAATTCTGACGGATCTGACAGCTCATGGTTGACTGGCAACAGGGAGCTAAGCTCACAAACCGGTGTTGGTTGGCCCCGGAGGCGGAGGGTAACCGGGAAGATGGTTCCGAGGACTGAGGCTGTACAAGCGGCTGGAGGGTGCTCGGAGGCTGGAATAAGGGGTGTCCCTGGGTCTGTTCGGTACAAGTTCTGTTGAAACACGGGACCGATCCAGGGGCCCGCCGGGCGCACTGTTGATGGGGCATTATAATCATGGGAGAAGAAGCTTAGAGTGAAGCATGTTGGATGGGATCTTGGGAAAGCCAACAAGAAGCAGTCTTGTAAGACTTTCCTCGTAAACCTTAAGCTGGTCCAGATGGAAAATATGGCTCCGCCCTGGGAAGTTCGGTTACCTCGGGGCAGTTTCAGCTGTGATGGCACATCCGGCCGCTAGGTGGCGTGTGGCGGAGCGCGGGCGCCCGGGAATGACGCGTGCGCACTGCTCCTAGGTTGATCCGTAGCCTACGCTCGCGCACACGGGCTCGCACGCTGCGTTTACCGGCGCGCCCGGCGCACGCGCACTCAGCTGCACGGCCGTCGTCGTGCCGTCCGGCTCTCGCAGTTTTCCTGGGAGCGGCCGAGCTGACCCCGCCGTCCGAGATGTCCGAGCTGCCCGCCGACTGCAGTGTCCGGCAGACGGACGCCGCGAATGGCCACCGCGACGTCCGGCAGGCGGAGGTAGGCGGCGGGAGGCGGGAGCCGGCCCCGGCGCGGCCCGCGGAGCCCGGAGAAGGTCCGGCGGCGGCGGCGGCGGCCGGGGAGGCCCGCGAGGCAGCGGTCGCCCGCGAGCTGGCGGGGCCGGCGGAGGAAGAGGGCGCGCCGGCCAGACCCCGGTCCCGGCCGGCGAACGGCCCGGGCCTGGCTGCGTTGCCGTACCTCCGCCTCCGTCACCCACTTAGTGTTTTAGGAATTAATTACCAGCAGTTCCTCCGCCACTACCTGGAACACTACCCGATCGCTCCGGGCAGAATCCAGGAGCTGGAAGAACGCCGCAGGAGGTTCGTGGAAGCCTGCCGAGCCCGGGAAGCCGCGTTCGATGCCGAGTATCAGCGGAATCCCCAGAGGATGGATTTTGACATTTTGACATTTACTATAGCTCTCACCGCATCTGAGGTCATCAATCCTCTGATAGAAGAACTTGGCTGTGATAAGTTTATCAGTAGGGAATAGTCTGGTGATGGAACTGCCTCGAGGAGAGCGGGACTTAAACACCGGTCCTGTCGCGTTTTGAAAAGTCACTGTATACGGGATGAGGCCATAGTTGGGGGAGGGAGGGAAGTTTATCATGAAAAAAGCGTCGGGAAAGAGCGAGAAAAGATTCAAAGCCTCGTGACTCCTCTGACGTTGGGTTTGCGGTTGATAACAGATTCTTTGCCCTGCGTGGTGGAAACGTCTCTCAAAAATTGCTGCCCCAAAACGTGAAGGAGAAGTTTTATGAACCTGAGACTCGATGAAGAAATATTGCCCGTAATGGAGCCCGTGGTGATGAGAGAAATTGTCAGATAACTGGTGGTGGGAATCAGGAGTCACGGCTGAGTTATCCTGTGGAGAGACTGGAAGCCCACGGAGGGAACTTGAAATTGTCAGAATATGTGCTCCCCTCGCCCGCAGGTTCCACAGAAGGTTTTGTCTAAGTCGATTTTGTGTTCTCGGAGGCATTTCAAGTGGCAAACGATGTAACTGTTGTATATATTACGTGATAAATTACGTGTTCAAGAATTTCTGAAGTTTCTGGATTTTCTTTCATTTTTTTAACTTAAGGTTTTTTGGGGGTTTTTTGTTGTTGTTTTTGGTAAATGTATTCACACACCTCCAAAATGTAAAATACACGCTGAAAAGCCTTCCATCCCTGTCGCCTCCATCCAGTGCGTACCACAACCCACATCTGTAGGTGCCTCTTCTGTCCTTGCAATTTCCTCATGTACACACAAGCAAATGCGAATTTGGGTGATTTTTTTTTTTTAATTCACAAAAGTTGGTATATTTACTGACTTAAAAGTTGCTTTTTCAGTAAGAATGTATCTTTTTTTTTTTTTTAATATTTTATTTATTTGACAGAGACACAGCCAGAGAGGGAACACAAGCAGGGGGAGTGGGAGAGGGAGAAGCAGGCTTCCCACCCAGCAGGGAGCCCGATGTGGGGCTCGATCCCGGGACCCTGGGATCATGACCTGAGCCAAAGGCAGACACTTAATGACTGAGCCACCCAGGCGCCCCAGTAAGAACGTATCTTGAAGATCCTTCCAAACCACTACATTTCCTCATTCTTTTTTAGAGCTGCATTTTGTTTAATTCTGTGGTGGTTATGTTGTAATTTACTTATCCAGGAATGCACTGATGGGCATTTGGGTGGTTCCCCATCTTTTTCTTTAGATTTTTTTTTTTAAAGATTTTATTTATTATTTGAGAGAGAGAGAGTACAAGCAGGGTGGGGAGGAGCAGAGGGAGAAGCAGACTCCCCGCTGAGCAAGGAGCCCAACGCGGGACTCGATCCCAGGACCCTGAGATCATGACCTGGGCTGAAGTCAGACGCTTAACCGACTGAGCCACCCAGGCGCCCCTTGACAATATAATACAGCATTTTTTCCTTAACTTTTATAAAACAACAGGGCATCTTATAATCAGCAGCTTCTTAGATTCTTTGTTATGTATTATAGCCGTAGTGTGAATTTACAGAATTGAGAATCCTGGGCCAAAGGTACTCATTTGAAATGTTACAGACGCTGCAGAGTTGCCTTCCGCCGTGTTGTACCACATTCCACTTCTGCCAGCAACCGAAGGGCATCTCCTTACAGCCCACGGACACAGTAAGCCATCAGATGTCTGCATTTTGCCAATCTATATACTTGAAAGATAGTATATCGTTGGTTCATTTGGAGAGCAAGCGTGCACGCTAGCAGGGGGAGGGAGAGGGAGAGACGCTCGAGCAGACTCCCAGGGGCTCAATCCCGGGACCCTGAGGCCATGACCTGAGCCGAAACCAGGAGTCAGAGGCTCAACCATCTGAGCCACCCAGGCGCCCCGACAGAATCAGTTTTGCTTTTCTTGTACGAGCGAAAAATCTCTTCTGAGAGTTCTGTATATTCCCTTTTCCATGAACTGTTCCTATCTTTTATCCATTTCTCTCCTGAAGAATTTTGTCCAGGGCTATTTGTGTAATAGTGATATGAGATATAATAGCTTGTAATGTGAGTTACGGGTATTTTTTCCCAGTTAGTCATTTGCATTTGGTTTTCCTGAAAGCCTTTTGGCACAGAGATTTTTTGCTTTTGTTTTTGTTTGCGATTTTCTTTTAAACGGGTAAGATTTTTTTTAAAGATTTTATTTATTTATTTATTTGACAGAGAGAGAGGTAGTGAGAGCAGGAACACAAGCAGGGGGAGTGGGAAAGGGAGAAGCAGGCTTCCCGCCGAGCAGGGAGCCCGATGTGGGACTCGATCCCAGGACCCTGGGATCATGACCTGAGCCGAAGGCAGACGCCCAACCATCTGAGCCACCCAGGCGCCCAGCTTATGTTATTTCTAATTTTACTAGGAACATTGTCAGTTTTGTCTAAATTGTGAGTTATGGCCATGAAGATTTTTTATTATTTTTTTATTATTATTATTTTTTAAAGATTTTATTTATTTTTTTAAAAAAGATTTTATTTATTTTTTTGACAGAGAGAGACATAGTGAGAGCAGGAACACAAGCAGGGGCAGTGGGAGAGGGAGAAGCAGGCTTCCCGCTGAGCAGGGAGCCCGATGTGGGGCTCAATCCCAGGACCCTGGGAGCATGACCTGAGCCGAAGGCAGACGCTTAACGACTGAGCCACCCAGGCGCCCTAAACAGGTAAGATTTTTAATCTCAAGATTTTCTTGGGTGTGTGTGTGAGTGTGTGTGTGTCTTTGAAGCACTTGGAATTTATCCTGATGTATAGTAGGAGGTAAGTTTAAAAACTTTCTTTCTTAGATGGCTACTGGTTGTCCTGACACCAGTTACTAACTAGTCCACCTTTTCCCCACTAACTTTGTTTAAAGATGCCTCTTCATCATATACTAAAGTGTGTTTTCGATTTTCTGACTACATAGTTTTAAATCTGGTAGTGCTAAAACTCCTCATTATACTCCTTTTTCAGAGTGTTTCTAGCTGTTTTTGTTTAAGTCAGCCTCAAAGTCAACTTACCTTGTTTCAGGCAAAGCATTTTTTTTTTTTTTTTTTTTTTGAGAGAGAGAAGGGAGGGGCAGGCAGAGAGAGAGGGAGAGAGAGAATCTCAAGCAGACTCCGTGCTAAGCGCGGAGGCCAACACAGGGCTCAACCCCACAACTCTGAGATCATGACCTGAGCTGAAATCAAGAGTCAGGACGCTTAACTCTGAGCCACCCAGGGGCCTCTCAGGCAAGGCTTTTTTATTAGAATCACACGACAGTTAATTTAGGGACAACTGCTATCATTAAGATATTGAGTCTTCTATCCTGATGGTCTGTTTTCCCTTTTTTTTTTTTTAATATTTTATTTATTTGACAGACACAGCGAGAGAGGGAACACAAGCAGGGGGAGTGGGAGAGGGAGAAGCAGGCTTCCCACCAAGCAGGGAGCCTGATGTGGGACTCGATCCCAGGACCCTGGGATCACGACCTGAGCCGAAGGCAGATGCTTAACGACTGAGCCACCCAGGCGCCTCTCCTTTTTTTTTTTTTAAAGTTTTTAATTTTTTTATTATTTTTTTAATCTTTTTTTAAAGACTTTATTTATTTATTTGAGACAGAGAGAATGAGATACAGAGAGCATGAGAGGGAGGAGGGTCAGAGGGAGAAGCAGGCTCCCTGCTGAGCAGGAAGCTGGATGCGGGACTCGATCCCGGGACTCCAGGATCATGACCTGAGCCGAAGGCAGTCGCTTAACCAACTGAGCCACCCAGGCGCCCCTAAAGTTTTTTATTTTTAAGTAATCTCTATACCCAACTTGGGGCTTGAATTTACAACCCCGAGATCAAGAGTTGCACACCAGCTAGGTGCCCCTATTTTCCCTTTTTTTTAATTAATTAATTAATTAATTTATTTATTTATTTAAGATTTTATTTATTTGACAGAGGGAGACACAGCGAGAGAGGGGAACACAAGCAGGGGGAGTGGGAGAGGGAAAAGCAGGCTTCCCGCCGAGCAGGGAGCCCGATGCGGGGCTCGATCCCAGGACCCTGGAATCATGACCTGAGCCGAAGGCAGCCGCTTAACCGACTAAGCCACCCAGGCGCCCCCTATTTTCCCATTTTTAAAAGACTTCCTTTGTGTCCTTCAGAAGAGTATTAATGTTTGTCCTCAAATGAATGTTCCTAAAGCAGGCCTTTCACAGATCTAGTTATGTATTCCTAGATACTTTTACCTTTCTTTGTTTTTTCTATAAGTGAGGATTGTTTCTGTTACATTTTCTAAAAGTTTTCCTGTGTGTTTGAAAATAATTTATTTTAAAAAAGGAATTGAGGGGCGCCTGGGTGGCTCAGTCGGTTAAGCATCTGCCTTCGGCTCAGGTCATGATCCCGGGGTCCTGGGATCGAGCCCCTCATCGGGCTCCCTGCTCAGCAGGAGGCCTGCTTCTCCCTCTCCCACTCTCCCTGCTTGTGTTCCCTCTCTCGCTGTCTCTTTCAAATAAATAAGTAAAACCTTAAAAAAAAAAAAGGAATTGATATGTACATATTTATTTGATAGCCTGTTACCACATTGAATTCTCTGGTTTAGTTTTTCATGTGGTTCTCTTATGTTGGAAAACAGGTGCTATCAAATAGTGAAAGTATTGCCTCTTTACAACTTTTTTTTTTTTTTTAAGATTTCATTTCCTTGACAGAGAGAGAACAAGCAGGGGGAGCAGCAGAGGGAGAGGGAGAAGCAGGCTCCCCACTGTGCAGGGAGCCTGATGCGGGGCTCAATCCCAGGCCCCTGGGATCATGACCTGAGCCGAAGGCAGACGCTTAACCGACTGAGCCACCCAGGCGCCCCGCTGCTTTACAACTTTTATACCTTGAACTTCTTTCTCCTTATTAATTCCAGTACCTTCTGCCTAATGTAAAATAATGTGAAGGATAATCAGGCATCCGTGTCTTGTTCCCGATTTTGTGGAAATTCTTCACATATGCATCTGTCACTCTGTGGATGTGTGTCTTACCAAGAATGATTATTGAATTTTGTCAAAGACCTATTCAGGCCTTTTCAGAGTCTTCAGTGATCCTAGGGTTATTTTTATATTCATCACCATGATGAATTTGTTACTGATAATGCATGATCTTTGCATTCTTCAAATGATCCTTATTTATAAATGAGGTATAATCCTTTTAATGTGCTTCTGGTTTGTTTTTTTTTTTTAAAGATTTTATTTACTTATTTGACACAGCGAGAGAGAGAGAGCACAAGCAGGGGAGCAGCAGAGAGAGGGAGGAGCAGGCTCCCGGCTGAGCAAGGAACCCAATGTGGGGCTGGATCCCAGGGCCTTGGGATCATGACGTGAGCCCAAGGCAGCGGCTTAACTGACTGAGCCACCCAGGCGCCCCTCTGCCTTTTTTTTTTTTTAAGTAGATTTGTTCTTTTGTTTTTTTTTCTTTTTTTTTAAAGATTTTATTTATTTGACAGAGATACAGCAAGAGAGGGAACACAAGCAAGGGGAGTGGGAGAGGGAGAAGCAGGCTTCCTGCAGAGCAGGGAGCCCGATGCGGGGCTCGATCCCAGGACCCTGGGATCATGACCTGAGCCGAAGGCAGACACTTAAGGACTGAGCCACCCAGGCGCCCCTCTGCTTTTTTAATTTTTTTAAAGGAGGTTTGCATGAGTATTCTGTGAGGTTGCTGTGTTGTTTTCTTGTGCAGTATTTATTACTTTTAGATACTAATGTTATCATCACATCATATAAATAATCCGAAGCCTTCCTTTCCTAAATTCTGGAACACTTTAAAATGCACTGGCATCATCTTATTAAGGTTTGGTAGCATTTCCTTTGGGACTGTCTGGGTCCGTGCTTGGGGTGGTGAGGGTGAGGGTCCTGTCGCCACTTTCCCTCCTTTGCCCTGTGGTAAGAGCAGTGGATTTGTAGGGACTTAGAAGACAAATGTGTCCTCACGGACTCAGAGTGACTGACTTTCTTGATCAGATGCCTCTCTTTGCACTCTGTGGTAACTTGGAGGGCGGCAGGCACTAAATATAAGCCCATGACCTATAAACCTGCAAAGTAGTCTTGCTGAGGCGCCATTTTCGCTCTCTGCTGTGGTGGGTATCTCAAGGTCAAACAGTCTCCCTGGGTTTGGGAGGTCAGCCTGGAGTTCCTGCTTATCAGGTTACCCAGGGAGGCGCTTATTCTCAAGAGTTCTTCCAGGATCTGGCCTGAGACTCTGGGTCCCTGATGGCATCATTGGGCAGCCAGCCAACTCCGGCCCCCTCCTGCCAGTTCACAGGAAAAACAATTTATTTGTCCTGTTGTGTGAGCCACTGATAGTCTGGTTTGCTGTTACTTGGAGAGAAGAACACCCCAACTGAAACCTACTTATTCTGTGCCAGGCCTTGAGAATTCCATGATTAAATAGTGTTATGATGCCCATTTTACAGAGGAGAAAATTGAGGCTCCCAGAGGGAGGGTCCCTGTTGGAGGTCACAGCAACTATGTGGTAAAGGTCTGACTCCCACACCTTGCAGGGACCTCTTGGCTCATGCCCAGTGACCCCACAGTGCCAGGTGCAGAATAGGGGGCCCATCAATGTTCCATGAATCCACGCATGGCCCTCCCCCCCAGGTCACCGAGACCCCTCCTAATACTGGGATTCTAGGACCTGAGGCTAGATGACAGGAGCAAACCTGGGGAGCAACAGGATGAGGCTTCTCTTCAAAGCTTCCCTCCCTTCCCCCCACCCCCATCTCCCAGTCCAGACCCTTGGCAATGCCCAGAGCCCAGGAGCAGGCGATTGCCATAGACCTCAGGAGACGGTGGGCCAACATTAGACGCGGTCAGACCAGAATGCAGGGAGGCAGACTGTATGTATTTCCCTGTTCCCCTCCCCGACCCACCCCAGCCCCAGCCACCATCAGAAAAGGACCTCACTTGGCAACATTTCAGCCCTTTCCGGCATCCTGCTGAGGCTCCTGAAATAGAGAAAGAGAAAATTATCTAAAATACAATAAATAGTTGTTATTTAAAATAACAACTCCATTAAAAAAAATAGCACTTATATTAGGGTTTACTATGTGTCAGGCACCATCCTAATGCTCCCTACTTGAATCTCCTTGCCATTTTTCAACACACCAGACACATTCTGACCACAGACCCTTTGCACTTGCTGCTCCCTCTGCCTGGAATACTTTCCCCCCAGATATCCACATGGTTCAATCCCTTACTTCTTTCAGGTGTTTACAGATTTAAAAAAAAAAAAAAAGATTTTTTTTTTTAGACAGAGAAAAGATTGAGCCTGACACATAGTAGGGATTCCAGAAATCCTGTTTGTAATTATTTTAAAAACAGCTAAAATACCATGTGAACATTGTCTGGATCATGATTCCCAAACAACCTCTAAAAAGATATTTTTGAGACACTTGAGGTATTAGATGCCATTAAGACATCTTAAAATTTTTGTTGGGGGCGGGGGGGGCACCTGGCTGACTCACTTGATAGAGCATATGACTCTTGATCTCAGAGTTGTGAGTTCAAGCCCCATGTTGGGTGTGGAGCCTACGTAAAAATAAATAAAATAGGAGCACCTGGGTGGCTCAGGTGGTTAAGCGTCTGCCTTCAGCTCAGATCATGATCTCAGGGTCCTGGGATCGAGTCCCACGTTGGGCTCCCTGCTCGGTGGGGAGCCTGCTTCTCCTTCTGCCTCCCCCACCCCGCTTGCGTTCTCTCTCATTATCTCTGTCACTATCTGTCTCTCTCAAATAAATAAAAGCTTTAAAAATATATAATTGGGCGCCTGGGTGACTCAGTTGGTTAAGCGACTGCCTTCGGCTCAGGTCATGATCCTGGAGTCCCGGGATCGAGTCCCACATCGGGCTCCCTGCTCAGCGGGGAGTCTGCTTCTCCCTCTGACCCTCCTCCCTCTCGTGCTCTCTGTCTCTCATTCTCTCTCTTGCAAATAAAATCTTAAAAAAAAAAATTTTTTTTTAATAAATAAAAAAATATATAATTAATGTAATTAAATTTTTGTTCGGTGTGGGGATGGCCTTATACTTGTTTTTAAAACTTATTAGAGATGCATACTGAAGTACTTACAGGTGGAATAACATGAGGTCTAGAATATACCTTCAAATACCACTGTGCCAAAAAAAAAAAAAGGCAAGAAGGAAAATAGATGGAATAAGAGAACGTTGGTAATAGTAGACCTGGTTGATGAGTACATAGAGCTCATTACACTAGTCTCTCAACTAGTATATATATTTAAAAATTTCTAACAAAAATGTTTGAGAACATTATAACCTCCATTTATGTAAAAAGTCTAGAAAATGTAGGGGCACATGGGTGGCTCAGTCGTTAAGCATCTGCCTTCGGCTCAGGTCATGACCCCGGGGTCCTGGGATCGAGCCTGTCGGGCTCCCTGCTCAGTGGGGAGTCTGCCTCTTCCTCTGCTCCTGCTCTCTCTCTCCCTCCTTCTCTCTAATAAATAAATAAAAGTTTAAAAAAAAAAGTCTAGAAAAATGCAAACTAATCTATGATAATGGACAGCAGATCAGCAGAGGCCTGGGACAGGGACAAGGGCAGGAGAAATTACTGATGGTCCCCGAGGAAATTTTGGGGGTATGACAGATACGTTAATTATCTTCATTTTGGAAATGGTTTCACAGGTACGTTCATATGTCAAAACTCATTAACTCATACGCTTTAAACATGTACTATCTCTTAGACATCACTTATACCCCAAAAAAGTGACAACTTTTTGTAAAAAATAGATACACAACAGATTAAGTATTAAGTCAGTACCAGCTTGCAAATGTGTATATATAGTAAGTGATTTTAAAAATCCAGTATATGGGGCAAATAAATAAAATCCAGTACTGGTGGCAAATAAATTATTGTGCAAATGCTTTAATACCTTAAAACAACGTTACCAGTGGAACTTTCCGCAGTGATGGGTTCTATGTCCTATATCTGCACTGTCCAGTCCAGTAGCCACATGTAGCTACAGGGCACTTGAAATGTGGCCAGTGTGACTAATAACAGGTTGTGTTTTTTTTTTTTTTAATTTTTTAGTTGTCAGAGAGCGCACGTGCTCAAGAGAGCACAAGCTGGGGGGAGGGGGGCTGCAGGCAGAGGGAGAAGCAGGCTCCCTGCTGAGCAAGGAGCCCAATGTGGGGCTCGATCCCAAGACCCTGGGATCATGACCTGAGCTGAAGGCAGCCGCTTAACGACTGAGCCACCCAGGTGTCCCAATAACTGAGTTTTTATTGCATTTCATTTTAATTGTAAATTGCAAAGCAGCAGGATGTTATTAGATAGTACAGCTTTACAACGAAAAGGAAAGAAAAAGAAAGAAAGAAAAAAAAGATCTTAAGCTCTTTTGAAAAAAATTTAGCTGACATCCACTGAGCCCTTCTCTGAGCGATGTAAATTTATTACGTTATGTGAGGTGTCTCATGGAAGAATCTCAACAAACCCATTTTACAGAGGATGGAACTGAGGTTCAGAAAAGCGTGTAGCTGACTTGTCCTGATCTGAACAGGGAGGACAGGCTGAACTAGGACTGGGACTCCAGTGCCTTTGACTCCAAGACAGTGCCCCGGCCCCTGCCCACCCCCCACCTCACCCCCCTCACCTCCCTCATCTCACCTCCAGCCAGTTGCCTGCTACCTTTTGCTGATCTCCTCCTCGATAATGCTCATAATTTTCTGCAGCCTGGCCTCATCCACAAAGCCATCACCTTTCTGGACACAAAGGAGAAAGAGCGTGGACATGTGGGTCTCCCGCCCCCGGGGGGATCCCAGCACCACCGCCCTCCCTCCCTGTCTGGGACCCTTGCTCAGAATCACCTTCTTTGAATGGACCAGTTTCCCATCCACAAACACTTCAAACTCCCCTGTAGCCTGGGCAGCTCTTTCCTCCTGCTGGAGAGGGAATGTTGGGGGTTGGGAGAAGGTGAGCACTCTCCTCCAGGCCCCTGGGGTCTCAGAGCCCTGACCAGCCACCTCCCCCGGGCCACTCACAAAGAGAAGTCGATTTGGAAATTGCTGCTCCAGACTCTTTCTCAGTAGAATGAACTGCAGAGTGGAGATGGGATTGTGGGGTCAGGGGATCCCAGGACTGTGGGGTCACAGGTCTTGGAGGGAGGGGAAACAGGACCTCCTTCCAGACTTCATGTCCTATACTCCCCACACCTCCAAAGTCAAAACTACTTACCCGAAGGCCATAGCTTCAGAGGCCGCTGGAGGGAGGGCAGAGAGAGATGGAGGGAAGACACTGCATCAGGATCTCCTCCAGCCCAGAGGGAGCTTGGGAACACCTGAGTCTGATCCCGTCCCTCCCATTTGGAACCCTCCCACAGTGCCAGCTCACCCAGAGCAAAAAAAAGCATGGTTCACAAGGCCCCCACGGGAGCTTCCCCATCACCTCTCTGCCCCATCTCCTCCTCCACTCTCCCCCTGGCCCACTTTGCTCCAGCCACAGGGACCTTGGAGCTCCTCCTCCAATACTCCAGGCATGCCTGCCTCAGGGCCTTTGCACTGCCTGCTCCCTCTGCAGAATGTTCTTTCCCTGATATCTACATGGCTCCTTCTCTCCCTCCTTCAGGTCTTTGCTCATACATCACCTTCTCAGGGAGGCCTTCCTGACCACCCCAGCTAAAACTGTGACCAACTGAGCCACCCAGGAGCCCCAAAGATCTGTCTTAATCACTGCTGTGCCCCTAGTGCCAAGGACGGGGCCTGGTACAAGGTGGGTACTTATCAACGGAATGAATTAGTGAATTAGTGAATCCATGGAGTCAGAGAAAGAGCTAGAAAGGAGAAGGGCAGGGGTGTGTGGGCAGCTCAGTCAGTTAAATGTCTGCCTTCGGCTCAGGTCATGATCCCAGGGTCCTGGGATCGAGTCCCGCATCGGGCTCCTTGCTCAGCTGGGAGCCTGCTTCTCCCTCTCCCTCTGCCTGCCACTCCCCCTGCTTGTGCTCTCTCTTTCCCTCTCTATCAAATAAATAAAATCGTAAAAAAAAAAAAGAGGCAGAGAAAGAGAGGGGAAATGAGGAAACATGGGGAGGAGAAAGATCCACAATATGGGGAAAGGAAAAGACACTGAGTTGCCTGGAGAGACTAGCTGGGCAGATAGGAACGGGGTGGGAGGGGAGGGAGTGAGTGAAACTGGGAGAGATGACGGGGAGAGAACCTTCTAAAGCGGGAGAGAGGTGAGCGGGTTGGAGGGGAAGACCGAGCCCCCGCCTGGGAAGGCCACTGCCCTTACTGGGACCACTGACACAGAGACTCAGCTCTGGGGCCGATGAGAACTGAAGCCAACTTCCTTGGGCCTTTGCACCTGGGCTCCTCCTCCGCCTTCCTACCCAGATCCCCTCCCGACGCCCCATCTTCACTTAGAGGCCGCCCGGAGAGGCCATCCCTGACGTCCAGTCTGCAATTCCCCCGCCCCGAATCTGGCTTTGCGTCTGCAAAGCCCAGCTCGGCCTGGAGAGAGAAGCTGGGGGCTCAGGTGAGCGCTCCATCCCCGCATAGGCCCAGCCCATGGAGGGCAGCAGACTCCAAATAAAGGAGTGAGGGTGAATGGGTGAGGCTCGGAGCAGGGATGTGAAGCCACAGATCTCTAGCCGCAGAGAGAGTGACAGGTGGAGGCGTTTCCACCTGGGAATCTTGACTCCCCCCCACCCCAGCAAATCCCCAAAGCCCCAGCGCCCCACCCCCTCCAGCCTCTGGGGGGGGGGGAGGCAGGTGTGGGCGAGGGCACCCCTCACCAGTAGATCACTCGAATCACGATTTTGCTGTCCATCGGGAAGCTCTCAATGGTGGGAGTGAAAGTGTTGGTGGACTCGGGTAAGGTGGGGGCGAGCGGGTCGGGACCCAGGATGGGCACCAGAACAAACTTGGGAGTGGAATCTGTCAACTTCGCGGCCGAGGAGTCTGCCCTCGAGGTGGAGCCAAGGGTGAGCCCCAGGAAATCAGTGGCCGATGGAGTGTGGACAAGAATGGACTCTTGCTTGGACCCGAATCCACTGGCGACGGATGGGAAGTGCTTCACGCTCGGCTTGGGCGAAAGATCCTTGTCAGGTGACAAAGCGGGCTCCTCCAAAGCGGGTTCTGGGTGTGGATCCAAAGGCAGGACTGAGTCCGGGAAGGATTCCGAGGCAGGGACCGCGGCTGTGATCTCGATCCCAACCCGGGATGGAACTGGAGTTGGGGCCGGGGCCGGAGGCACGGTCCAGATTGGAGTAGGCATCCGGGCTGGAATAGGGGTCTGGACCCGGGTCAGCATCCGTGCAGGAGTCGGGGTCCGGATCCGGGTCAGAGTCCGGACGGGAGTCCGGGTCCAGACCGGGGTTGGGGTCTGGATGGGAGTGGGGGTCCAGGCCGAGGCCAGGGTCTGGACGGGAGTGGGGGTCCGGGCGGAGGCCGGGGTCGGGATGGGAGTCGGGGTTCGGGCCGGGGTCAGCATCTGGACTGGATTCAGGATCCGGGCCAGGGTCTGGCTAGGATTCGGGGTCCAGGCCAAGGCCTGGGTCTGGACAGGAGTGGGGGTCCAGGCCGGGGTCTGGACGGGAGTGGGGGTCCGGGCGGAGGTCAGGGTCTGGATGCGAGTCGGGGTCCGGGCCAGGGTCGGGACGGGAGCCGGGGCTCGGGCCGGGGTCTGGATGGGAGTGTGGGTCCAGGCCGAGGCCGGGGTCTGGATGGGAGTGGGGGTCCGAGCTGAGGCCCGGGTCTGGGCAGGAGCCGGGGTCCGGGCGGAGGTCAGGGTCTGGATGCGAGTCGGTGTCCGGGCCAGGGTCGGGACGGGAGCCAGGGTTCCCGCCGGGGTCTGGACGGCAGTGGGGGCCCAGGCTGAGGCTGGGGCCCGGACGGGAGTCGGGGTCCAGGCCCGGGTGGGGACGGGAGTCGGGGTCCGGGCGGGGGTCAGGATCTGGACGGCTTTTGGGGTCCGGGCCGAAGTCAAGGTCCTGACTGGGGTTGAAGCCCGGACCAAGGTCGAAATCCGGGCTGGGGAAGGAGCCCTCGCCTGGTTGTTCATGGTGGGGGCAGGGGGGCCCCCCGGGATAACGGGGGTGGGGGGTGGGATCCTGCCCGGTGCTCCTTCCTTGAGCGGGGAGAGCCTCACCCACACCAGGGTTCTAAAATGGGACACGACCACAAGGGGGCACTGTGACATCGTGTTCCACCCGGTGCGTAGGTTCTATTGCTCAGGACCAGGCACCAGGCGGGAGGGACCTCTAGATCTCACCTAAAAATTCCCATCCCTAAACCCCACCTCCAGGGTAAGGAACACAGAGATTGCTCCAGTGTTCTCCTCACTGTCGCTAAACATTCATCCGTTCAGTATATATTTCTTGAGTACCTGCTGTGTGCACATTCCTGGGCTGAGAGACTCCAACGTCAGAGCCCTAATCAGGAAAGCCCTGGTCCAGGGGCGCCTGGGTGGCTCAGTTGTTAAGCATCTGCCTTCGGCTCAGGTCATGATCCCAGGGTCCTGGGATCGAGCCCCGCATCGGGCTTCCTGCTCAGAGGGGAGTCTGCTTCTCCCTCTCCCACTCCCCCTGCTTGTGTTCCCTCTCTCGCTCTGTCTCTCTCTGTCAAATAAATAAAATCTTTAAAAATAAATAAAAATAAAAATCTTTTAAAAAAAACTAAATCAGTTTTTTAAAAAAAGGATTTCATTTATTTGACAGAGAGAGAGCACAAGCAGGGGGAGCGGCAGGCAGGAGGAGAGAGAGACGTAGGCTTCCACTGAGCAAGGAGCCCAACATGTGGCTCGATCCCAGGACCCTGGGATCATGACCTGAGCTGAAGGCAGATGCTTAACGACTGAGCCACGCAGGCGTCCCCACAGCTGGGATTCAAATGGAAACTGTCAGGCTTGGGCGTCCTGGCACTTAACCACTCCTGTCTTGTTCACTGCTGAATCCACAGCTCCTAGAAGGAGGCCTGGCATGTTCACGGGAGGTTCACAGGAGATGCACAGGAGGTGCTTCCTAAATATTTGTCTTTTTATTTTGAAACAGTGTAACACTCACAAGAAATTAGAAAAATAGTACAGAGCATCCTGTATCATTTCCACCCAGCTTTCCCCAATGGGAACTTAAGATGTAACCACAGTACATTGTCAAAACCAGGGCTGTGACATTGGCCCGATACCATTAGGTCAGGTACAGACCTTATTTTGAATCATGAAAGGGTTTTTTTTTTTTTTAAGATTTCTTAGAGAGAGCATGAGCTGGGGGAGGGGCAGAGGGAGAGGGAAAAGCAGACTCCCTGCTGAGTGGGGAGCATAATATGGGGCTCCATTCCAGGATCCTGAGATCATGACCTGAGCCGAAGGGTGACGCTTAACTGACTGCGATGCCCAGGGGCCCCATGGGAGGGTTTTAAAAGGAGGAGAGTTAGGAGCATCTGGGTGGTTCAGTCGGTTGAGTGGCCAGCTCTTGATTTCGGCTTGGGTCATGACCTTGGTGTCCTGGGATGGAGCTCCAGATCGGGCTCCTTGGCGGGGAGTCTCCTTAGGATTCTCCCTCTCTCTCTGCCCCTCCCCCACCAACCCACCCACTCATGTGCACTTTCTCTCACTCTCTGTCCAATAAATCAATCTTAAAAAAAGCGGGGAGGGGGGAAGAAAGTTATGACCTACTGTGCTTTGCAAGCACTGAGCCCTTCTTGTGTTAAACCTTGGGCCTGCGTCTCAAAAGCTATGAAGATCATGAGAGACACTGAATTTTCTGTGTGATGCTAAGCAAGTTTCTACCCCTCTCTGGGCTTCAGTTTGTCTCTCTGTGAAATGGGCTTTCCTCTTATAGTGTCATATTGAGAACTAATGCTCACTGAGCATCTGTTATCTGCCAGCCTCTGATATTAAATGCTTTGTGCATATTTAAAACATTTCTTCAGCGCCTGAGTGGCTCAGTTGGTTAAGCGTCTGCCTTCAGCTCAGGTCATGATCTCAGGGTCCTGGGATCGGGCCCCGCATCGGGCTCCCTGCTCAGCGGGGAGTCTGCTTCTCCCTCTCATTCTCCCTCTGCACGCTCTCTCTCTCTAATAAATAAATAAAATCTTTATTTTTTTAAAGATTTTATTTATTTGACAGAGAGAGACACAGTGAGAGAGGGAACACAAGCAGGGGGAGTGGGAGAGGGAGAAGCAGGCTTCCCGCAGAGCAGGGAGCCCGATGTGGGGCCCGATCCCAGGACCAGCCTGGGTTCATGACCTGAGCCGAAGGCAGACACTTAACGACTGAGCCACCCAGGCGCCCCAATAAATAAAATCTTTAAAAAAATAAATAAAACATTTCTCCAAGGCTCTGTTCATTTTCTGTCTCTTTCCCTCTCCAGTTGGGATGGCAGGATCTCTTTCAATCTATCTTCAAGCTTGAGAATGCTTTCTTCTGACAGTTCAAATCTACTATTGAGCCCCTCCAGAGAATTTTTCATTGTAGATACTGTACGTTTCAACTCCAGAATTTCCATCAGATTCTTTTTAAAATAGCATCCGCCCCTCTGTTGTTCTCTACTTGGTGCAACGTTGTTATTCCCTGCACTTCTTTACTTACCAGTTGCCTGCCCCTCTCCAAACCTGTTTGCAATGGCTACTTTGGTTTTTGTTTTGTTTTGTTTTAAAGGCTCCACGCCCAGTGTGGAGCCCAACGCTGGACTTGAACTCACCACCCGGAGATCAAGAGTTGGATGCTCAACCAACTGAGCCACCCAGGCGCCCCTGCGAAGCCTACTTTGAAGGCTTTGTCTGTTCATCCCAACCTTCGTCTCTGGTCCCTCTCCCCGGCAGTTTCTGTCTCCTCCCACCCCCTCCAGTGTACAGGTCTTATTTTCGTTTCTTCGCCTATATCATTTTTTTTCGTTGGCAACTGGACATTTCAGATAGCGCACTGTGGCAACTCCAGGTGCTGGTCCCCGTCCTGGGGTTTATGTCTGTTTAGTGACTGGTCACATGATTTGTTCAGTCTGTCCCTCTGCTTCCTCCAGCAAGTGCAGAGCCAGGGAAGGGAGCGTGCAGAGCCTTAGATATGCCCAGTCATCCTGGGCTGGTGGGTTTGGGCAGGTTCTCCGGGACTTTCCCTGACCATGCTGGGCAGGGGAGCTCCACCCATCGTCAGCTGCTTGCTCTACTGTTCTCGTTGTTCTCAGCACTTCAGGGGGCATAAACTTTTTCAGAGACTGATCCAATCAAATTAGGGATCCTTGGAAGGGTTACTCCCCAAGTCCCCCAAATCAGTTTGAGATTAGTTCTGACCCAAGGAGGGTTCTCACCAGCTGTCTCTTTCCCTGGCTCTCCGGCAAACTAGCCAGAGTCTGTCAATCTCCTTCCATCTGCCTTACGTACACCACGACCTCCGCGGTCTCTGAGGCATGGTTAGCCTTGAACTTCTCACTCGGTCCCAAAAAGAGTCAGTTCCTTTGAGGAAATATTTAGAGCTCTCTGCTCTGCAGGCTGCTTCTCCCACAGACAAAATCCCTGAGCCATGGCTCTGATACCAGGGTGGGGACAATGGTCGGCTTCACTCAGAGGGACCCCACTTTCGGAGCTGAGTCCTCAGTGGGGTGAGGCGGCAGGCCCCCCATCTTCTAGCTTGTCCTCTTGATGTGAAACTCCTGCCCCAGGAGCCAGGGAGGGGTAACCGGGGCCCCAGTATTCTCAAGCACTCCACAAGTATGGGCTGGGCTGAGGAAGGGAGACCCCCCTCTCGGCTGTGCTCCCCCAGAACTTGGCCTCAGCAACAGGTAGCTGGGAGCAGGATGAGAAAGGCTGACATTCTGCCCCTCCCCAGAGTATTGCCCTCCAACTGGGAGTTGGAGGCGGGGAGGGAGCCCAGTCAGAAATGGAGGGGCTAGGGGGAGGGTCTTGGTTCACCCATCATTGGTTCTCCCTGTTCTCACCAAATTTTTAGATTTTGTTTATTAATTTGCTACATGCCCTCCGGATCATCCCCAGAAGCTTCAAATGGTTGGGCTGCCATTCTGTTTTTTTGTTGAAGATTTTATTTATTTGACAGAGAGGGAGCGCAAACACAAGCAGGGGGAGCACAGGCAGAGGGAGAGGGAGAAGCAGGCTCCCCGCTGAGCAGGGAGCCCAACGCAGGGCTCGATCCCAGGACCCTGGGATCATGACCTGAGCTGAAGGCAGACGCTTAACTGACTGAGCCACCCAGGCGCCCTTGTCATTTTGTTTTTATAATTTGCACCAGTTTGCGGGCAGGCAGGTCCGCCAAGCTCCTCATTTGGTCATGCCAGAAGTGGAACTCCATACAGTCCATTTTTAAAACACAAACCATAGCACCCTGTTCGTTCTTTTGTACCTTGTATTTTTCCCCCTTGGACAAAATATATCAAAGAAATTTCATACGAGGGGCGCCTGGGTGGCTCAGTTGGTTAAGCGGCTGCTTTCAGCTCAGGTCATGATCCCAGGGTCCTGGGATCAAGTCCCGCATCGGGCTCTCTGCTCCGCGGGGAGCCTGCTTCTCCCTCTCCCTCTGCCTGCCTCCCTGCCAACTTATGCTCTCTGTCAAATAAATAAAATCTTAAAAAAAAAAAAAATTCATACGAGCACATCTATATCTCTGTATCTCGTCATTTTAACAGTTGTGTAATATCTTATTTATAAATGGCCCCTAATTAAGGTAACCAGTCCCCTCATCATTTAGATTGTTTACAGCCTTTGGCCATCACCAACAACCACTGAACTACAGACACCTTCGTGCACAAGTCAAAGTGTAAGTGTAGGGTAAAGTCCTAGACACGAAACCATCCAATTTAAGGGAATGTGAATTTTTTCACTCTGCAAGTTATAGTAAATGACTCCTTAGAAGATGTTTTATTTTGTGTGATACCTTAAACACATCAGGGTGTTGCAGGTGGCCAACACAGCTGCATTTCGGTTTTTAGAAACAAGGAAGTACAACACAGGTCCACAAAAATCCGACAAGCTCTTTAGCACAAAGGCATCGTGCAGGACGACTGCATCCCAAACCCCACACTCGCTCGTTGTCTTTGCAGCAGTTACTTCAAATTCTCTGAGCCTCAGCTTTCTCTTCTGTAAAATGGATCCTTTCCACTTTCATTGACTGGTTCTGTTGTATTAAAAAGAAAGCACACCTTGTGGGCGCCTGGCTGGCTCAGTAGGTGGAGCAGGCGACTCTTGATCTTGGGGTTGTGAGTTCAAGCCCCATGTTGGGTAGAGATTACTTAAAATCTTTAAAAAAAAAATTTTTTTTTTTTTAAATCTTAAAAAAAAAAAAAAAGCACAGGGCGCCTGGGTGGCTCAGTCGTTAAGCGGCTGCCTTCGGCTCAGGTCATGATCCCAGGGTCCTGGGATCGAGTCCCACATCGGGCTCCCTGCTCAG